TGGCTCTGAACGTTTTCCAAGAGCGTCCTTGCTCTCTTCAGCGTTTAAGTCTATGCAGAGCAGAGCAGCTGACGATGGCGCCACTAGATCTGGGGTGGGTTGTGCAACGTTGAATTCTGAGGTCGCTGCGAGCAGCCAAGCCTTCGCCTTCCGGGTGCCCAGGGTCGCATGAGCTGGCCCTTGGCGGCTTTCACATCATACTCGGAAGTGGTAGTCGTCGCCCCTCTTGAGGGTGGCTGTGATCGTTGTTTTCGTCGTGGTGCTAGTAGCAATACTGACGCAGGAGGAAGTTGCATCAAACAGCAAAAGGAACGAGCTATTCGCTTTTCAAAGAAGGAGCTCTTTGCCGTACTTCTGGTGAAACCATCGAGATCATGCTGCCACGATACGGTCTGAGAATGCCTCTGCCGGTTTGCAAAGGCTCAAATGCGCCTTAAACTTAGACCCTGACACTATTTTGCAATGTGACAAGACAAATGTCACAATTCACGATGGATCCGCGGATGCCTGGAGACTGCGAAACAGCAGGCCATCAGAGTACAAACAGAAAACACCATCCGAACTTCGCTGGCTGGCATTGATAACATGTTGCCTCCAAAGTACTGTCAACTTGCCAAGGGCAACAGTGGCTGAGAGGCTCGCAACAAAAAACTTTGCAGCTGAGAGGAAAGCCAGGATTACATCCCCAAGTCCACAAACCCTGGGTTGCCGAGTGCCGCACGAGGCGGTGAGCAGCTTAGACTCTGGCTTAGACCATAATGGCATCCATGAGATAATCTTGCCAAGCTTCCGCAAGCACACGCGACACTCAAGAGTGGCTGTCCAGCAGCACGGACATCCACGAACACAGCAATGGCACCATTTCTGCTCGAGTTCATGCTTTGCATTCCTTCTTCGAAGGGCAAGACGCCGCGCCATGTAACAACGACAGCGCATATAGGAACTCTAGATGATGTAGCAGTTAGTTCAAGCGCAGTTGAGTTCTGGGGGGTAGCGGTTCACAAGCTTCTTGCCTTCCAGGTCTGCCGGCGTGATCTCGCATAACAAGCACTTGGCTTAAGGCTTCTTTAGCTCCAAATGTTTTCATTTGAGCCGAAGCAAACTAAACTTGCAAGCCAAGCCTGCTTTGCAGGCAACCATACGGGGCTGATGCTACAATTTCGCTACCAGGTCATATCGGCTCTTCTGCACTGCCGTCTTTTTCCGACTCCTCCGCATTGCCGAAGTCTGGGGCCTCTTCGTCTTCTTCGGGCTCTTCAGCATTGCCGAAATCTTCGGGCTCTTCGTCTTCTTCGGGCTCTTCGTCTTCTTCGGGCTCCTCGTCTTCTTCGGGCTCTTCAGCATTGCCGTCTTCTTCGGATCCCTTGGCACAGAAAATGTTCTTGATGAGTTTGCAGTTGATCCATTGGATAGCATACTGGAACTGTGATGCTGTCATAAGTAATTAACAATAACACGCTTGTCTGCAAAACATCGGATAGTGTTTCAATCTTCAACAGGCATAGTTCTTGGTCCAACCCCCTCAAACCCAACCCAAGTACTCAGTCAGCCAAGCAGCAGGGATTTCCTCCTCCTCCTCCCCTTGCGCAGCCTTATTGTGTGAGGAGCACACCATTCATTTCCTACCGCCTCAAAGATCTGTCAGGACTGCAAAACGGAGACTGTCTGCTTCAAGGCAGTGCCGTCGAGCAGCTGGTGGTTCCTGACACGGCGCGTAGCAAGTGCAACAAACATCAGATTCCGAACAACTCTCTGATCGTTACCCCTCAGAAGCCACCTGCTAACGAGAAGCAGGCACGCAGTAGCAAAGAGGTTTTCGATGATCAAACTCCACTGCGTCGCAGTCTACATCTTCCGCAGTTTTGGTTGGGTCAAAGTAGTAGCAATCATTCTTCTGGTTACCTTCAGTGTCATCATCCCTGGTGAAAGGGGCCCCCCCACCACTTCTGAAAGGCTCATCATCGGGTGGATCCGTGCAATTGATGCCCATGTACGTGATCAGAGCTTGAAGTTTTTCGGCAGAGTTGATAAAAGCCATCTCTTCCTTGCCGCAGTGGAACTCGTTCCACTCGTCATCGTGCTCACTACAAGCTTCACTGCACGGCTTGTTGGCGGGTGCTGAAATCCACAGCGGCTTCGCCTCCAAAGGGAGCTGCGCGAACTCTTACGACCCAAAACCCAAACACACAAGACCTCGCCGCCATCGATTTTCTCAGTAGACAAGCCCAGTCCATGATGATTCGTTGGGTACCAACTGGTCCATGCACTAACAAGAACAGATGACAAGCGTCTACAAGTCGTCTCAGGTGAGCAAATCTGTTGGCAGTCATGCATCCTGTGCTTCAAACTATGGCCCTGAGCCTTCCTCGCTTCCGCAATCGCCCTCCGTATCATCTCCTCTTCGTATTGCTTCTGCCTAATGCGGGCCTCCATAGCCTTTTTGGCCGCACTGGCAAAGCCATTCTTCAGACGATTCATTCTGTCTGACCGTTCCTTGCGTTCCTCGTCTGAGAGGTGTCTTGGCTTGAAACGAGGGAACTTGAACGAAGGCTTGCCTTTCTTGTTCGCAGGCTTTCCGTTCTTGCTCGCAGGCTTGTTGCCATGCTTGCCGAACTTGTTTGCAGGTATGCCGAAGGGCGGAGACCACCTTTCCTGAGTCTGAACCAAGAACAGCAGAACAGCGACAACAACAGCAAAAAGACAGGCAGCAGCGGCAGTAGCAGACCTTTTCTTCATTCCGCACTCGTCAACCTCCTTCACACGAACTTCTTTTTCAAGTAGCAAGCAGCTGGTACACCCTACAACTACAGCTGCTCACCTGTTGCCACATGCGAACTGAGAAGACAAGGAGCCACCTTTGCTTGCAACACTGCAAGCTCATCTGCCAGCTCCTGCTCTGGAAGCCTGGCAACTTGGCTTCTAGAACGGAATGGACACGCCTATTGGGACAAGGCCGTACTTGTGCTAGAGGATTCTAGATGGTGTGATGTTGCTGGTGAAGCTCCACCCAGCCATAGTTGCCTCCAAGTTCCTTGATCGTGGGGGGCATTGCAAGATGAGTCTTCACATGAAGCGGAAAAACCGCCCTGCACCTGAGATGATCACAGAAAGGGAATTCTACAGCTGTTTAAGCAAATTGGGGTACATGAGCTATAGTCTGAACTCGAGGCATCCCCCTTAATAAGCGCTACAATGCAACATAATACAAACTAACCCACCTTTAAGAAGTTTAGACTACCGCTCATGTGCCCTCTCCGTGCCAGCTGAGATGCTTTCATGACCGCCACCATGATCGGCAGCAAGCCACGGAAAGCCATTCTGACCCTATTGGGGCTCTCGCTTGAAGCCCCAATGCCTATTCAGCCTATTCTCCGCCGTTGGGAAAGAAAAAAGCCCAAGCGCTCGAGCCTGCGGACCGCAAGAAACTTCACTGGCCCATACCCAGTAAGTCGATGCGTAATATAGGCACACGTGACAACAAGCCCTCCTAGTCTGGCATACCATTTTTGAGGAACAAAGAATAGAGAGGTCTTCCTGGCCAAGCATAGGCTCACACGCTGTGCCAAAGGCGTGGGTTCTCTGGAGTCGTTTCATGTTGATGCCGCGACTGGAGTGTGGCAGACCCGGTTGCATCGAGCAGCAAATCATGTTCTCAAGGATGTTCTCTTTTCAAGGAAGGAGGTCATTCTGGCACGACATCAACAGTCTGCGCCAGCGCCACATCGAATGACGAGCTTCGTTGCAAGCCTGACCTAAGCGCAAGAGGAAGTGTCTGTAAAGACTGAACACTTGTCGTGCACGCTTCATTGATTTTGCCACAGCTCCGAAGGGCCCACGCAGACATCACGTGGACGAAACGTTCATTCGGAGGTCGCAGAGACAAAACCCAATTGCATCGCCAGTGGCGACGCCTCAAACCACAATTCAGAAATTAGGACTGCTCACGACAGGCCATGCCCATCGTGGCCTCACTTTGTGAGGTCTTTGATCTCACCAGGAGTGGGACACGGCTTGAACTTGTCTGCCGCTCCAAAAGTGTACTTGCAAGCCGCCTTACCGGCGACGCGGCCGAAGACCACGCAATCCAACAAAGAGTTGCCACCGAGGCGATTGTTGCCGTGGATTCCTCCAGCTGCTTCGCCGGCCACGTAAAGACCCGGGATCGGCTTCCCAGACTTGTCGATGCACTCCGCCTCTGTGGTGCACTCCAGGCCTCTCAGGCAAAACGAGCATGGCGAACAAGCTCCAATCAAAAGGCATCTGCAATGTCTAACCTGCTTCCCTGGCGCAACACACAAGAGGTCCCAGGCAATGAGCCCCAACGTCATGCACTTTTAGCTTAACAGCCTTTTGCGATCCATGCGCGTCCATGCTTACACGAGGCTACTGGCTAGCCCGGCCACGCGCCGCGCCTCCCATGCAGTAGTGGATCACCGGGGTGATGATGGCCACGTAGAAAGGCTCTGTGGGAACCTGCCATGGACAGCCGTCGTTCAAATCAAGGTTTCATGTTATTCTCTGTTCCCTACATCCCCATCCTTGGAGCCATCGATGATGTTGTGGAAGAACTTCTTGCCGCTGCCAGTCTTGCCACTCGGCTCATCCCAGGTCTTGCCCGACGGGTACGCCGGGAAGGGACCGCCTTCCGGATCTTTCTCCTGAATTTATGTGCGCAGCAACCTACCAACCCTGAAAAGAGAAGTTTGAGACACAAGGGGTGCGCCAACCTCAACCCTCAAAGGAGAGGGTTCAGCTGCACAAAGAACACTTGGCCCTCAACAGCAACAGCTAACATAGCGCTACGACTACGACACATGGAGACCATTGCCATCGAAAACACCTAAGAACAAAAAGAAAATCTCGGCTGACGTTACAGCAAAGCATGTCGCCTGAACGACAAGACCGCAAGCGTGCAAAGGCTGTGGAACCACAGCTGCATGCGTGAAGGCAGGAAGAAAATCAGAGGTCATTGCAGGGTTGGAATCATGTGTAACAGCGGA